CCCGCGCAGACTGTCAAACGTTAATGTTTATATTGTTTTGTTACTCCTCTATGCACTGTACCTTCGGGGGGCCTTTGCCTGCCCTGTAGGTGGCGGACCTTCTTCGCATGTTTGTGCCGCGTCTTGTTCTTTTTCTTCTTCTGAGGGCTTTCCCCCAGGATCAGAAGGCGGTCCTTTGGCATGAAGTCAACCAGACATGCTCGTGTCGCGGCAAAAACCACAGTGGAATGTCGTTCGTCAGTTTTCGGCCCTTGGGGGCCCTTACGGGGCCTCGGGACCGTCAAACTATTCGGGATGCAAATCTGGCCATGGGGAAATGGTCTGGGCGTGACACGTGGCATGTCTTCGAACGGGTCCTGAGGGAATCAGGTCCTGGACACCAGGCCTTGCCCCAGGACCAGCTTTTCCATGACTCGAGCTGCTTTCTGACACTCCTGGGCCTCAGGAACACTTTCCCTCGGCACCTGCATTTTTGTCACCAAACATAGTATCCTGGCAAAGCAACCTAACAGCGATGTGTATGAGCATATCTGGAAGCATTCCCCTTTCGATTCAGGTGAGAATCCAGTTGTAGAATTCTGCTGTTCTCGCAGTCGCAGTCGCATTCGCAATGACAGTCGCAGTGGCAACGGCCTTAGGATCCAATGGAATCCTAAGGATTCCTAGGGATTCCTAAGGATTCCTGAGGATGCTTAACTATGCCTACGGATTCCTAAGGATGCCTACGGAGTCCTAAGGATTCCTAGGGATTCCGAAGGATTCCTATGGATTCCTACGGATGCCTCAGCCTGCCTCAGTTTCAGCCTCAGCCTCAGCCTGCCTCAGCTTGCCTCGGCCTCAGCCTCAGCCTGCCTCGGCCTCAGCCTCAGCCAGCCTCAGCCTCAGCCTCAGCCTGCCTCGGCCTCAGCCTGCGTCAGCCTCAGCTTCAGCCTGCCTCAGCCTCAGCCTCAGCCTCAGCCTGCCTCTGCTTGCCTCAGCCTCAGCCTCAGCCTGCCTCGGCCTCAGCCTGCCTCAGCCTCAGCCTGCCTCAGCCTCCCCTCCTCCCGCCCCCCCTCCCCCCCCCCTTCACCCCCCCCCCCATTCAGCCTCACCTTGTCTCAGCTTTGGCCTGCCTCGGCCTCATCCTTAGCCTCAGCCTCAGTCTCAGCCTCAGCTTGTCTCGGCCTGAGCCTGCCTCTGCCTCAGCCTCAGCCTGCCTCAGCCTCAGCCTCAACCTGTCTCAGCCTCAGCCTGCCTCAGCATCAGCCTCAGCCTCAGCCTCAGCCTCAGCCTCCTGCCTCGGCCTCAGCCTCTCTGCCTCGGCCTCAGCCTCAGGCTCAGCCTCAGCCTCAGCCTCAGCCTGCATCAGCCTCAGCCTCAGCCTGCCTCAGCCTGCCTCAGCCGCAGCTTGCCTCAGCCTCAGCCACAGCATCAGCCTCAGCCTCAGCCTGCCTCAGCTTCAGCCTCAGCCTCAGCCTGCCTCGGCTTGCCTCAGTCTCAGCCTCAGCCTGCCTCGGCCTCAGCCTCAGCCTCAGCCTGCCTCAGCCTCAGCCTCAGCCTCTCAGCCTCAGCCGGCATCAGCCTCAGCCTCAGCCTCAGCCTGCCTCAGCCTCAGTCTCAGCCTGCCGCAGCCTCAGCCTGCCTCAGCCTCAGCCTCAGCCTGCCTCGGCCTCAGCTTGCGTCAGCCTCAGCCTCAGCCTGCCTCGGCCTGAGCCTGCCTCAGCCTCAGCCTCAGCCTGCCTCGGCGTGCCTCAGCTTCAGCCTCAGCCTGCCTCGGCCTCAGCCTGCCTCGGCCTCAGCCTGCCTCAGCTCGGGCATTCAAAATATGGCACAGGACTGGTGTTCTGGGAGCACGAAGATCACGAAGTGGCCCACAGTTGGCTCCGGGCAAGCAAAATGTGGTACAATAATGGTGTTCTGGGAACACGAAGAACACGAAGTGGCCTACAGTTGGCTCCGGGCATTCAAAATGTGGCCTGGGAATTGTGTTTTGGGAACACGAAGAACACGAAGTGGCCTTCAGTTGGCCCCGGGCATTCAAAATGTGGCCTGGGAATGGTGTTCTGGGAACACGAAGAACACGAAGTGGCCTACAGCTGGCTCCGGGCATTCAAAATGTGGCCCGGGAATGGTGTTCTGGGAACACGAAGAACACGAAGTGGCCTACAGGTGGTTCCGGGCATTCGAATTCATGCCCAGGAATGGAGTTCTGGGAACTCGAAGACCACGAAGTGCGTCACTGTTTGCTTAAAACGAGTTCCCCGGCATCCCCCCGGCATCCTCCCCCGGATCGCGCCCAGACCCCCCTGGGGCGTCATGATGCTCTCTCTCTCTCTCTCTCTCTCTCTCTCTCTCTTTTGACCCGACTAGAAGCCTATCAGTCTTCGCTGTTAGGTAAGAATGGAAAATGATGAACTGCATGCGCATAAACGTTCGGAGCTCCGCGCGGATTTCTTGGATCGGCGCTGGACCCCCTTCCTTGGCGCGCGTGTGGCGCCGGAGGCGCCGCCAGGGGTGCCCAGCGCCGATCTCAGAAGTCCACCGCCAGGATAAGTAGGTTCACATCCACGGCTCCCCGAGATCCCTGGGACACGACCCTGCAGCAGTGGACATATGATGTAGACGTAGTGTGGCGGCGCAAGAAATTCGCGCGGAGCTCCGGAATTCATGGTTTTGCCGTTTGGTTTTCCTCCACTCACGATGAGGTCGAGCTTTCCGGGCGTTCTCGCCCACTGTCGGGTTCTGGGACCATCACATGTCGATTTGGTTTGAAAAATTCAGAAGAAAGATCGGGTCTAGGGCTCCGTTCGCGATTTTCTGCGATGTCGCAATTTTTCTGCAGCGTCGAATCTCAGAGTTCACCCAGGACCAGCTGTTCGTCCTGAGCCATTTTCTGACGGTCCCGGGCTCGCGGAGGGCCCCGGGAAACCCCCAAACCGGTGCAGAACCTCAGGGCTCCGTTTCGGCCATGCGTCAGAATGACCCTTCGCTGGAGTGATCTCTGGTGCAGGTGCACCAGGGCCCCCCCCCGCAGTGGCTTGCGCGCGTGGATCTGCCCCCGCCCCTCGTGGCCCAAGCCGCGCACCAAAAGTCACCCTTGACTAATTAGGGCCTAGGGTCGCTCTTCCGTGTCCGCCCAAGAGAAGTCGGACCAAAAAGCACCACACTCCATGGACTCCAGATTCCGCTTACGAGAGTCGAGAATCTGGACTGGACCTTGGGCGTCTTCTCGGAGCCACTTCTCTGTCGTAGACTGTTCGTGCACCTGGATCTGGACTACCGTTTCAGAAACCGCGCGGAGCGAAGCTCATTTCCCAGACCCCCGCAGTCACGTTTTTTTCATGACGAGACCCCCAGTGGTCCGGACCCATTCCCCGGGACGGGTTTTTCATCCTGAGTCGTTTTCTGACGGTCCCGAGGCCGGCAATGGCCCCCTGAGGCCGAAAATGGCGAAACACCTCCCGTCCTGATTTTTTCATGACTCGATGGGGGTCAGTTTTTTTTAGCTTGACAGCTTCTTAACTCTGATCGGCGACCGCTCGTGCGTCGGGTTGGGTTGACCCAAACGGGGGTCCAGCAACAAGGGTGTGGTGCAATCGATTTGGTGCAGTAGATTTGTGGGGTTGTAATGGATTTGGGGCGTGCAATACATTCCGGGGCGCAGATGTATTGCTGGATTGTCGCGTGCAATGCGTTACTTGCAATACAACGCAATACAATTCTCAAGCGCAATACATGTGCCCCAAATCTACTGCACCACCCCCTTTCAGCTGGACCCCCTTGTGGTTCACCCAAAGACCGCTCGTGCGGCGATCCAAAACGATCTCGCGCCCGATGGGCTCGGCCTCGCGCTCGTGTGCTGCCGCCGCTCTCGACGACCTGCTCCGCCTCGCCGCTGCGCGCAGGGATCCGCGGCCGCCACAGAGTGCAGGCGGCCGTATCCCTCGGCATCGCTCGGACCCCAGACCCCCTCGAGTCTTGAAAATCACGACGGGAGGTTTTTCGCTGTTTTCGGCCTCGGGGGGGCCCTACAGGGCCTCGGGACCATCACAAAACGACTCAGGATGAAAAAACGGTCCTGGGGAATGGGTTCGAGACCTCTGGGGGTCGACGTTCTGTGAAAAATCATAACGTCGGGGGTCTCGGACGTGTGCACTAGTTTTCGGCGAGGGCCGTCGAGGAACATCCCGAATCTTCGAGCAACAAAAACAAGAACACGCGCACGAGAATGAAGAATGCACGGGGAATGGACGTCCGAGCGGTGGCGAGCTCCCCAACCCCCCGACGTCATGATTTTTCACGACGCGACCCCCAGAGGTCGGGACCCCTGCCCATGGGGCCCGTTTCTCATCCTGAGTCATTTTTGTTGGCGGTCCCAGGGCCTGTCAAGGGCCCCCCGAGGCCGAAAGTGGCGAAAAACCTCCCGTCGTAATTTGTGTTATGACTCGAGGGGGTCTGGGTTTCCTTAGCCTGACGGCCCCCCGAGGCCGAAAGTGGCGAAACGTTTCCCGTTGTGGCTTTTTCGCACTGCGGGGGGGCATGTCCTGGGAGTGCCGGCCGAGGAGCGGCCCCAGCCAACGAGGGGGGGCGACGTGGGGCCGAGAGGGCGGCGGCCTCTTGTTGCCTCCTCCTCCTCCTCCTCCCTCCTCCTCCTCCTCCGTATCCATTTTGGCTCAAGTCATTGAGCTGGCACCGGGGATCAGCGGCCCCACAGTTCCAGGGACGGGTGCCCGTCCCGTCGGCAACCATTCCTCCCACACGAAGATGGCGAGGAGGGGCGACTTCACGGTCTGCTCATGCGGCAATTGGGCATTCGCAACGATGGCAAATGTGCGAAGTGCGGGGCCTCAATGGGGTTATACCACAGAGCACCTCCGTGGCGGTCGAAGAGGCAGAGTTCGTGGTATCAATACAGTTCGTCGGAGACGACCATGGGGCCCACGAAGGTCGACCCAGCAGCACTCCTCGATCAGTTGGCCTCTCTTCCTCAGTTCACCAAGGAGGCGAACACGCTTCGCCAGGCGCAAGAGAGGTACAAAGAGAGCCAGGTGGTTCAGGCTTCTCCCCAGGAGTGCTACACGAAGTCGGCAAAAAAACTCAAGTGGAAGGCGGACGCTCTGGAGAGAGCTTCCAAGGCAGAGTTGGATGCGGAACACAAGCTGGAGGTCGCCAGGGAGGCCACGAAGCGCGCGGCTTTGGAGCACGCCAGGGCCAAGCAGGAGCACGAGGAAGCGGTGGCTCGTGTGGCGGCGGAGGCCAACATCCAGCATGTCCCGCAGGGCTACACGTCGGACGGCAAGAGAGTCGTCTTCGCGGTGGATGACACGCTGTTCCAGGACATCGGCGCTTTTGCCGAAGAAGAGCAGCGTGTCCTTCGGGCCCTGGAGGCCATGATCAAGGAACAGTGCGACCAGGTGGCGGCCATCCAGAAGGCAGTCCACGAACAGTTCGCAAAGGTCAAGGATATTCGCTCGGGCGCATCCAAGAGACAGCGCACGGGCGAGCAAGGTCAATCTGCAGTGGGTACAGGAGGCACCATGGAGTACGACTCGGAGCCAGAGGACCAGCACGGGGAGGCCAAGAGCCCCGCGCATCCGAATGAGGACTCCCCCGACCTACTGGCGGCAGCGGAAGCGGACAGAGCAGCGGCATTGGAGGCTGAGCGCAAGAGGATCGCTAGCAATGCCAAGGCTGGCGGCGGCAAAGGTGCTTCATCGTCTGCTGCAGGTTCTGGTGCTGGTGCTCAGCGTGGGTAGCAGCATTGGCGATTACGGACCATGTACTTCTACGAGCACGGCCAACACGAGTTCAAGGTCATTCTTCAGTAATATTTCGGAATGGGGGCCTGTCGCGAGGTCCTTCATGAGAGAGCAGGCAAAACAGTATGATATCATCGGTTTCACAGAGACACATCAGAGAGGACACCGTCTACAGGAGGCGAGGTCCGACTTGGGCCGGGACGGATGGAAGCTTACAGCAACAGAGGCGACGTCGACTGGCAGATCATCCGAGGGCACGTCAGGCGGCGAGCGGATCATTTCGCAGAAACGGTTGGCGACCACCTCCTTCGAGCATATACGAGAGTCTGAGCGATCACGCACAGGGCGCGATTGTTTTCAAGGGTTTGCCCCCTTGCTATGGCACACCTGCATGGGCAATGTCGTTGTGGTGGTGTGCTACCTTCTCCCAGGGCACAAGTTTCGTGGTCCGAACGAGAAGACCCTGATCAGATTGGCGGCCTTCCCCAGCCAGGTAAAGGAGTCCTGGTTGGTGATGGGCGACTGGAATATGCATCCCTCGGAGTGGTCAAAGACATCATGGCTAGAGAAGCTGGACGCCCTGGTCATCCTCCCCTTCCAATGGTGAAGTTACGTGTAATAGGGGTCGAGGCGCACTCATCGACTACGTGATCGCGAAGCGGGGTATATCTTCTACCATGAAGCTCCCCATTCCGCACATCCCACGAGGTCTGGGAGCAGGCTCGGATGCTAGAGAAGACTCAGGACTCACGCCTGGGAGAAAATCGGGAACTCTTCCCGCATTTCCTCCAGGACAGGGGCGCACCAGCCAGGTGCAGGCTGGCTTCCAGCTGCGCGAGTTGGGCGACAACGCTGGAGGAGGCCACCATCATCACACACAAGCTCGATCAGCAGGAGGCCGACAAGGTCAGGGGCAGAGCCAAGGGCTTTGCGTTCAAATGGGCGCGGACGCGTGCCACCCCCGATCGCCCGCATCTGCGCGATCCAGTGGCGGAGTGGTGGAATATTTGCAGTGCGCTAGCCAATCGAGCTGGAGTGTTACGTCGGTCGCAACGAATATCCGATTTACAGGTGGTCTTCAACAAGATCGAAGGCCTGTTGAGCATCAATAACGTCGCGGACAGGTTTACGATTTTCCACGACGAGGACAAGTTCAAGTGCTGGTTGGGCATGGTGGCCGTGATTTCAGAGTTGGATGACACGGGCTTCTCGGATTTGCAGCAGATGACAAATCAGTTCCTCAGCCGAGCTATTGGACGATCTCTATCTAAAGCGAGTAAGAGCTTCCAGCTGTGGATGATCCGCATGTGGAAATCGACTCCAGGGGTCATCCACAGGTACACGCGTGGAGTGCTGGACAAGGCCGACGAGATCATTGTCACGGATCGCGTCTTTGGCTCTCCCAGCGATATCATGGATCACCGCGCTGACAGTTGGCAGAAGGTGTGGAGCAGTGACAGCTTCAGTGCTGACAAGTTAAGCTTCGGGTTGAGCTAGCTACCTTCGTCAGAGAGCATCTCAGCAGGACAGCGATCCGATTACGACGGACCACATTTTCCAGGCGGCATCCAGCATGCACGCGAAGAAATCGGAGGGTACCGATGCTATGGGCCCAGTGGAGGTTCAGCGACAACTACTATCGGGCGCGCACCAGCTGGGGCGATTGCTCAGTCAGATCGAGGAGATCGGGATGTGGCCTCCGCAGGTCAATCTCGTCATCGGAGCGATCGCCCCCAAGCCGAGAGGGGGAGACAGAGCTTTAGGACTGTTACCGTTTCTGGTCAAGCTCTGGGCAAAGGTGCGCAGTGCGGCTACGTTGCAATGGACCTCCGAGGCGGACGAGCATTGGGGCACGGCGGTCCGTGGGTCCTCGGCACTGCTAGCGGCGTTGGTTCGAGGGTTGTTAGACGAGTCTGCACGAGAGCTCCGCATCTCCTCTGCTACATTATTGTTGGACATTGAAAAATGTTACGACAGTTTGGACATTGCTAAATTCTGTGCTGCGGCCCTCACACAAGGTTTCCCCGCCAAGGTACTGCTCATGGAGCTTCAGATATGTCTTGCGCCGGGGGTGCTGAAAGATCGCAGTTGGGTATCGCACGCAATACAGGCGCAGCGGGGTATCGTGGCGGGTTCGCTGAACGGTGGTAGAATGGCTAAAGCTTTCCTCGGCCCTATCATGGAGCGGGCTCACCAGCAGTATGGCATGCATATTCTTTTGAGAACAGTCGTTGACGACACGGTGACTCGGGTGGAAGGTACTGCGAAGCAAACCACATCCTTGACGATTAAATCGGGTGCCATGGTATGCGATCAGCTACGCCAAGCGGGCTTAGTCATCAGTGAGAAGACCACGGTGGTAGCTCCGGGCAACGTAATCTTGAGTGATGTTATAACGGGCCTACGTCGACTGGGAGTGCCAGTCACTCCCTCGCATGATGCGGTCGACCTGGGCGTGGACACCAGTGCGGGGCGCCGACGCACCTGCATCAAAGCGTATGAGAGAAGGAAGAAGGCAGCGAAACGAACCTGGGCGATCAAGAGGGTGAGAAGGCACGCAAAGTTACGAGGCATTACGACGGCGCTATGGACTGCAGGGTCTCGACCACAGGGTACATGCGCTCATCGGGCGTTTGGTGTTGCAGGACACGTTATGACAGATTTAAGGAGACAGGCGGCGCAGTGTTCGGTTGGTGCTGGACCAGGACGTTGCTTGACTATGGCATTGGCGATGGTGTACGGCAAGAAAGATCCAGCCAAGTCAGTGAGACTCGAGCATTTCCACATGTGGCTGAAGATGTGGCGTGAGCATCCTGAACTGCATGCGCGCGTGGCGACGGATTGGGTCAGCATCAGGTTGCAACAGCCGGGGTACGTGGCAGGTTGCAACAGGCGGGGTACAATATACCCAGCCTTCTCTGTCCTAGGTGCCAACAGGCGCCTGAGAGTCTGTTTCACCGTACTTGGAATGCGAGGCCAATGTTGGCCACCCAGATTTGACGAAATCCGATTCGTTGATCCCCCAGGCTAGAGCGCATCACGAGAGTTCGCCGAGTTTCTGGCTCCGCGGGGTCCCTGGTCGGGCTGAAACGGCCCCGACCTTCTCCGACGACCTTCCCATTGTTTTTTGCTTCGGCTTGATCCAGGACGTGCCCAGAGACGCCGAAGGTTTCGCTACCGTGTTCGGGGACGGTTCGGGTGGGAGGTTCTCTGACGACCCTCGGCGTCGGCGGGTTGGTTCTGGGGTAGTCGCGCTGGCCCCAGAAGGCCAGTTCTGGAAGTCGGTCTGGGGCGTCTGCGCTACCCTACTGGGGAAGCGACAGAGTGTTCCTCGTGCTGAGATCGCCGCATTTGCGATCGCGGTGGGTGAAGTCCCAGGCCGACTCTGTTTTATCATAGATCACCAGCCACTGTTGAGGTCCTGGGCCAAAGGTCGGTCTGTTGGTTTCGAGGCCCTTGGGGGGGGGGGGCTGTGGACCTTTGGGCCAGGATCGCCGCTGCGTTCCGTGCCAGAGCGCCCGAGGACGTTGCGCTCAAATGGGTGGCCTCCCACCAAGAGGAGCCCACGCGCCACAGGGATCAGATGTTCCTGCACTTCGGCAACGAATGTGCCGATGCGCTAGCAGGGGCGATGGCTGAAAAGGCTTGGTCTGAATTCGTGGTGGCTGACCCTCCGACCGACCGAAGGGGCGCGGAGTTGTTTTTGATCCGCCGGCGCGCTAGGAGGGCCTTGGGGCTTTCCATGGTTGCGGACCCGTGGGCCCACGAGCGCCCCACGGCGCAGTCTCAAAAACCGCTCCCTAGGTTGGCGAGAGAGCTCAGGTCCTCCGAGCATCGGTGGTGTCGCGTGGGTGCTAAAGTATTATTGTGCTTAGTGTTCGAGTTTTTCTAATCAGGATTCGATTTTTCAAGCTTGTGAGACTCTGTGCGGGTCGAGGGGTCGTCAGGAATCCGAACCCATCCGAGGGAGGTGTATTATTGGAGGTAAAGAGCTCCATCCGTCGCACACACTGCAGTACTGGAGTTCGTACTGCCTCACCTTTTGTGGCACTTGCGGTTTTTGTTGCACCGCCGGCCCCCGACAGCATTTGAAAGTTCGCAAGCTCACCCCCAAGGGGAAGCATAATCTGGCAAGGGTTTTAGCGGGTAAGTACCCCCACCCGTCGGGGCCCCCGAAAGCTGTGCGAGAAGCGTTGCACAGTCGTTTTCAGCAGTAATCTAGCCAATGCGGGACGTTCGACGTCCCTTTCCTGGAATATCCTGGAATATCCTCCTCCTCCTCCTCCTCTTCCTCCGCCCCCACCTCCTCCTCCTCCTCCTCTTCCTCCTCCCTCCTCTCCTCATCTCCCCCTTCCTCTTCTTCTCCTGCTCCTCTCCTCCCCCTCCTCCTCCTCCTCTCCCCTCCTCATCCTCCTCCTCCTCTCCTCCTCAATATTCCTCCTCCTCCTCTCCTCCTTCCTCCTCCTCTCCACTCCTCTCCTCCTCCTCCTCCTCCTCCGCCCTCTCCTCCTCCTCATTTTCCCCCTCCCTCCCCCTCCTCCCTCCTCTCTCCTCCTCCTCCTCTCCTTCCTCCTCCTCATCCTACTCTTTCCTCATCCTCCTCCTCCTTCCTCCTCCCCCCCTCCTCCTCCTCCTCCTCCTCCCCCTCCTTCTCCTCTCCTCTCCTCCGCCCACCTCCTCCTCCTCCTCCTCTCCATCCTCCTCCTCCTCCTCCTCCTCCTCCTCCTCCTCCCCCTCTTCCTCCTCCTCCTCCTCCTCCCCTCCTTCCTCTCCTCCTCCTCCTCTTCCTCCTTCCTCCTCCTCTCCTCCTCCTCCTTTCCTCCTCCAGATTATTATTATGTCTCCTCCTCCTCCTCCTCCTCTCTCCTCCTCCTCCTTCCTCCGGCTCTCCGTCCTCAGCATCCTCCTCCTCATCCTCCCCTCCCCCTCACCTCTCCTCTCCTCCTCCTCCTACTCCTCACTCCTCCTCCTTCCTCTCGTCCTCGTTCCTCCTCCCTTTTCCTCCCCCTCCCCCTTCCTCCTTCCTCTCCTCCTCCTTCCTCCTCTCTTCCTCCTCCTCCTCCCTCTCTCCCCCCCTCACTCCTCCTCCTCCCTCATCCTCCTTCCCTCCTCCTCCTCTTCCTCCTCCTCAGCCATTTCGGCCCAGAAAGTTCTGGGCTTGCAACGGCCGTCTTCGAAGTGGCAGTCGCCGTTGCGGGTCTTTCTGGCTGGGTACGCAGGTCGAGGGACTTTTTTCCCTCCAACTATCCACGACGCCTCATCGGCAGGTCCCATGGCCAAGGACGATGAGGCGGTGCTCCCAGGTCCGCGGCAGCCCTGCTGGGGCTGCCCTCGCTGTGGGCGTAATCAGAACTGGGCATGCCGCGTCCGCTGTGTCTGTGGCGAGGCAGCACCCCAGTCGGTCACCCAGCGCGCCAAGGAGAACGCCAAGAAGTCCAGTCCTGCAGATGGGCCTCGTCTTTCTGGCCCTCGCGGTGCATGGGCGCGCGGTCCACCGGCAGTCAAGTCAGGTGGGAACACTTCCAAGATCGAGCAGCAGCTGGCCGACCTGGCGAAGCAGGTCGAGCAGCTCACCAAGGGCGCAGGAGTCAATGCGGGAAGTGCGCGTGCAGGAGGTGCAGGCGCGGGTGCTGCCCGCAAACCTGAACCCAAGCCCGATGCTGAAGAAGGGATGGTGTGGTGGACACGGAGCTCGTTGCCCTTCGTGCCAAGGCGGACGCCATGGAAGAGGCGCTCGCCATCATCAAGAAGTGTCCTGAGCTGGGCTCCTCGGCCACACAGGCCCAGATGGAGTCAGAGCTGGCTGCGGTGCGCAAGTCGATCGCGGAGCGCAAGCCTGCAGTCACAAGGCACACTACCCTCGGCCGCAAGCTGGCCAAGCGCCAGCAGCAGCTGGCCAAGCTTGAAGAAGAGGCTACTGAACAGCTTCAGGCTATCAAGGACGCTCAGGAGGCCCTGGCGCAGGCTCGCGACAAGATCCAGGCGGTCAAGGTCGAGATCTCTGCGTCCCAGGTGGAGCTCCGCAGCGCGTTGCAGCAGGTGGCCCCGTCCGAGGAGACCGCGCCATGCACGCAGCTGTCGCCCGAGACGCTCGAGCAGGCACCGCCTAGCAGCTGGTGGCTTCCCCGTCTTTCGCCAAGTGCCAGGAGCTGCTGGCGGCACAGGCGGCGCAGGCCAAGGCCAACGCACCCCCCTCACCCCCAACTCCTGCTGAAGGTATCCCTGGGGGCCCAGGAGTTCCAAGGCAGGAGCCAGGGGGTGATTCTATTCCAGTTCCAGGGGATGACGAAATTGACGTCGAGCTGGACGATCTTGATTCTGAGGACATCTCGAAGATCCTGGCAGCCGCTAGGAAGGATGGCGAGGAGCATTCAGAAGAGTTTACCGCACTTCTGCGCACAATGGGGGTCAAGGCCAAGAAACAAAAGTGTGGGTGACACTGTGTTCGGCATTCCTGGTCCTCTGCTTTCGGGGATCCCGCTCTCTG